AAACATCACGTAAAATTCGATGTAAGTCTCTGTCTGAATATAAAAGAACACGCTACTGTTAAAAAACCTCGTAAAATTAACAACGATAACAAAATTTCTGGTTTATTATTTTAATTAGGATGTCATAGGTGCTCACGATATCGCCTTGACCCGAAAACACACAAAAATTGACTTTACGAATTATATTCAACAGCTGGGCGCCTCGCCCATCTTTTACCAAGTTCAAAATTGGCGAAGTGGAATGTTGTTTATTCAAAACACGCGAGAAAAGAAAGCTTTTTTCGCTGATGAAAATTACAATGCGTGAGCTTCAGTAGACCTTTAGTGACTTGTGCGCTCCGTGTAAAAAGCGTGCAGTAYATTGTACTTGTTTAATATTCATTTTTTAAAGTAAGAGCAATTAACGTTTGCATTATGTATTAAACTTTGATTTAACTAAGATTTTGTACGTTTTAACTGTGGCTTTGTATATTCAGTATTTATTCGAGCCAGAAAGTATATTTTGATTACAATTCTAACATGACAATGTCCACAAATGGTAATAGCTCATTCTTTTTTGAATAGTTCGCCATTTTCAAAGAATAAAAAAAAGATAGAATATTTCTACTCTCTATTACCTTTTCATTTTATTCCTTTCATATTTAATGATTTTTGGCTCGGATCTTTGGCGTTAGCTTGGTGATACAAAAACTTTAATCTGTCAGACGTTTTTCGATTAATTTGAAAAGTTTGATGGCAGTTATCATTAGTGAAATGACAGGCGTGGTTAGCCGGGAGGTAACGTAAACAGTTACAGCAAAGAAAAATCCAGCATGTGTAACAAAAAGTTATGAAAACACATCTCAAAAGTTCGACATTTCATAATCATACTCCAATCATCACTTTGTTTACTTCCTTCCTTTYTTTCTTCAATTTGTTTTTCATCATTTGTTGTGCTCTTAGTACCAAGTTCACCTMACCTCATTCTTAAAAAATAAAGCTAGGTYAGTTTCGTTTTGTGTTTGGTTTTGAAAGGCTTTGCATGCTTTTTGYTATCATTAYATATTAATAAATAAAAGGCGGATAGAAGCGAGCACGAACCGCACATTAAAGATGGTTAGCGTGTGAGCAAAAATAGCCAACCATTTGTTAGACCACAAGGCTTTACTTATCACACCACAGCAAAACGATGGACAGCAAAGGTGTAAAAACAGAACCAGACCTGATCGATTACAAAGATAAGAAAAATAGACCGAATCCGTTGTAAGCGCGATCTGTTGAATGCTCATTTGACGCCAGTGCCAGAATGATCAATCGCAAAAGGATTAAAATGATCTAGATGATATGCATCGGATTGTTGGGAAACCATGTCTAATTTTTTTCATCCAAAAGGCAAATATGCTTCAGAATTAATGACACAGATTAAAAAAGAACGCATCTCAAGATTTATTTGTGTTCTATTTTTGAGACATTATTCTTGCTCCAGAAGATCTAAATTAAATCCGACATCAAGTAACTCTCGAACCAGATGATCGAACGAGCGCTGATTCAATTGTAAATCACTATCTTGCTTACAGTGCCATCTCAAGTTATTTTAAGTGAGAAATTATTGATGRTTTGAAAGCAAATCTTGGTGCCCTTTCTGCTGATGTAGATTTTTGTGATGGCCAATCAGAAAACACAGACACTAGAGTTGAGTGGTGTCGTTTTGAAAATGAATATCTTGAAAGAAAACCGTGTAGTTAAAAAGCGCAAGAAGCAAAACAAAAATAAACAAATTGAACCTCAAAGGCAATCTTTCCTTGTGGAATTATTTGGAATACTGAGTCTGGCATTATTTTGCTAATTCCAAATTSATTACTGAGTCATATTTATAAGAAACATTACTGACATTGACTCTTTTAATTCCTGCCATAAAACTTATTTTTTCAAACTTGCATTGTAATTTTTTTTTTTATTTGTAATTTTTTATTTCTCAGCGCTTAGATCTGAGCTGTATAAGCGCTTTATAAATTAAGGTTATTATTGTTATTATTATTATTATTAGAAAACCACATCAAGAGTTTTTTTTCTTTGATTTCATTTACTAGAACTATTTATCTCTAGCTATTTCCTAGTAAAGATTATCTAAAATGCCATTTCACTTACACGCGTTCACGATATATCCTGCAATCGATAAAAACGACTATTAAGAGAAGATAGAGTTTTGGTGTTTGTTTAAAAGCCACAAAACGAGCCAATGCCAGACTGYCATAGTCTAGGCAGCCATAACATATCATTACTTAAAACAGTCTACATTAGCTTATTTTTACAAGTTAAAATGCATGTATTCAAAGAGTTACTAAAGAAAGATAAACACACTACGATTGAAAACAATCTTTTGTCGAGATAGCAAGTGGCATATCTTCACTTGTAGGAGGATTACGTGATGGTAAAAAAAGACTTAACCCAGAATGAACTGCACAATTAACTCATGAACTTAARATGTACAATTCATCATGTACTATGAATTTAAAGAGTATTAAAATCTGTAATTTTTCACACCCTATTAATTATCGCAGGAAAGTGAGGATTTAGAATATTATTCATCGTCCCAGGTAGGTTTAGTATTATATATTATTAAAACCTAGTRATAATATTTTGTTATGATACGTGATTAGCTCGCAACTTTACTGTCAGTCTATCTGAGCTGTCCAATCATTTGATAACATCGCAAAAGTCCTCCTTTTAACTCAAAATGTGCCTAATTCTGTTAGCTATCATTCCGTTGACTGSTKTGCTATCCAAACTGTCAGCGAGTACTTCGAATGGCTGGAGTCAAAATGACAAACTGGTAGTGCGTGTTGTTAAGGCTGCACTTTGCTARCACTGCCTTAAAAGGGTTCTTGACTCCAAGRGCTTCTTTACAAGAATGACCAATTAATAAACTAAAAATCCTCTCCATAGAAAGACTTGTTATTTCGTGAGGAAAATAATCGTTATCATACATCGCATTAAAGTTGTCTTGTCGAGGGGCAAATAGGCGGGGAAAAGGCCAACCAATTTTGACCTTTTCTTTGAGATGTTAGACAGAGCTATTTGTTGAAATGTAGTTTGCATGAAATATCAAGACTTGAMTGACACGAACTGATTGATAATTCCCTAACCTAGCAAGCACTCCTCTCGACATTCGTGTCTTTTACTCTTTATAGTTTGACAGGGAGGAGAGCTTCTCACTTCACTTGCAAACACCAATCGTAGGGTGAGCTCAGAGTGCTAGTGCGTGGAACTGAGATCGCATTGCTTAGTGACAGGCTTTGCAACGCTGGCTGCATTCTCCCAGGTCATTTCCTGTGGATCCCGAGGGTCACTAGCTTCGAGTCAAGACTGGMTAATTACTAGACCCGTTTCCGGGATTTTGTCTTCAAAAGGAAATTGATGGCTTGCATCTTGTCATGTAGTGAGTRAGCTTTAGTCGGCCGTAAAATAAAACATGGCCACTTGACCCTTGTATTTACGGGATTAAGCCTCGGTAAAAATCCTTACCCAGTAGTATAAATAGATAAGACAGCAAGTCTAGTAACATTGTTTACTCGCAGCTAAGAATAACAAGCGACGGGTTGTAGTGTATTTAGTCAAKTTTCTCACCTTTTTTTAATAAAGAGAAAATGTATTACTATTGCGTTTGGTTTGCAATAAAACCAACTCATGTTAATTAGAAAGTACAATTTGTTTACAAAGTTAGACACCCGAACCGGTTCTTTTTTGACCCGTAGAAAACGCATCAGTTATTTTCACAAATTTCTCGGTGTAGAACTCTCTCCATTTAACAAATTAAAGCTAATGGAGTCTAGACTTGTTATTTGCTAAAAAAGAATTAAAAAAAACACACTTACTGTAAATTGTACATTTTGTTCATCTTTTTCGAATCTCAAGTTTCGAGGGAAAGGACCCAGTATGTCATAACRCGTCATGTCCAGAGCGAAGAAATATCTTTTTCGTAAGGGTAACAGGAAACAGCTAAACACTTTTTATAGCCAAGCTATCATGGCCTGTCCGCCTCCATTTCATTTTTGACTTCTTTTTGTCATCGAAAAGTTTTCTTTCCGAAAAAAAAGTTCAAAGTCTAAGATTAAAAGMGAGAGGTTCAAAATAGAGACTGCTCTTTTTTCTAAAGAGTTTCCCCTGTTTTTATGCGGTTGAGAACACACTCCGTTTTTATAAACAAATTAGAAAGAGATCGTTGTCAAAGTCGAACTGGTGCAAAAAAATTAGCCGAATTGACATGGGAACGGGAAAAAGGAAGATTCATTCCCATGTCATTATATGTACAAATTTCCGGTTGTTTCAGATCAACTCTACAAATGAATAAATCAATTTTCTGTTCAAATCAACTTGCCCGGACGCCAATTATGTATTTTGGAAACAGCTTAGCATGACTGGCAGAGATTGAAGTTTTCTACGAGATTATGAGATCCAAAATTGACATGTCTGTCAAACTTAAATATTACCAATTCATACTTGTAATTGTTCTCGTAGCTTATCGAACCTCCTACCTAAAGATCACTGTTTGTCTTGTAAGGAAACCAGTGAAGCTACACGGTAACGAAGAAAATACACAACCAAATCTAAACTGTCAGTAGTCAAAGCCTTTCACATCCTCATTTGCTAATCAATCTGTGCCTAATCCAGTTAGTTTAGTGTCTGGTCTAGTTGTCCAATAAAAATCAAAAGTTTCCCTCCTACCTTTCTTTCTGCAATAGACCTTTTGAGAGGCGTGATGACCAACTTTATTTGTGGGCGGGAAAATTGTGTTGTATGATGGGAACAATCAGAATACAAAGGCTAAATCCAAAGTAAATTGTGACGCCGTAAAATAGGATTAAACGCATAATTGGGTTTCTGTTAACGAGCTCAAACTATCATACTTTGGCAAAGAGCTATTTGKGTGCATCATTTTAATAGATAGCTTCATTGTGGTTTTGTATGAAAAGTGTTCGCACTGGCTATCACTTTAATTAACAGCCGTGTCTCCTAAACTGACAGCTCTTTATCACTCTAAATAAATTCTCTTCAAACACTGGCTAATGACATGTGTTCAATGTCAAACCGGTGCGACTCGAGCATGACAAGTGAATGTCCTTGCCTTCTTTCACATTCCTCATCCTGCGCCGAAGTGTAGTGTATACATTTTTAATCGGGGCAGCCATCTTTGAGCCACGGACTGTGAGCTCTCCGTGATATGTCTTCATTCTCTGTACGAAATATTCTCAATCTTAAAGAACCACGAATGCAGGCCAACAATACCTCTAACGCAATGAACCTCAGTGTTTACCAAACGGATAATGCTAGCTTTGAGCCACGGTCTAAGCTAGATATGGGACTTCATTTAGCTCACAAAACCCAGGATATTTGTAAGTTTGTACAACGACGTGACGAGGCTTTGAGAATTCAAAGTGCATTTTGAGTAACTTGCCTAAATGCTTTAAAATGTTCTTTTCACTGACGTGTTGTGGTTTTYGTCATTAATTCAAAGTTTTGCTTAACGTTTTTAGTGGCTTCGTGAATCGTGTGACTTTGATTTTTTTACACATCTTACATTTTAAATTCATTAGCACGYTTTATTGCTTGCTGGACTTGTGTACGTTGCAGTTTTATTTAAAGAAGTACTTGTTTATTAGAACGACTACAGCCGGATTATACTATATTAGTCGTAGTGCGAACTAGAACWTATAATCTATCATAAATCTTGCTAGCGAAAAACTGAGAGCACAGAAAAASCCAGGAATAATTATAAATGGTCACAGTAAACGTTTTACCCAAAATACACAATAAAAAAACATATTACAGGTAAAATAGAATCGTTATCAACTCCGATATGGCCTCTGTCACCTTTATGGGGTTTCTAATCGCATTTTCTTCTAACAGCTTCTCAAGCGCATCCTGAAAGAATCAAAGACAGTTCAGGAGAACTTATACGTCAGAGAGAAAAGGATGAAACCCAAGAAGTCCCTAAGAAGCGTAAGCGACGAATCCTCTTCACTAAGGCTCAAATTTACGAGCTGGAAAGAAGATTTCGCTACCAACGGTACCTCTCAGCTCCCGAGCGAGAACAACTTGGAAGGATGATAAATCTCACTCCTACACAAGTAAAAATCTGGTTCCAAAATCATCGTTATAAGCACAAAAAGCTTGCAACTGAGTGCGGGGAATATAAAGAGCCCAGTCGGTCTATCTTCCCTCGYACTGTGCCTGTCCCTGTTCTGATCCGTGATGGACAGCCGTACCATTCTGACTACAATACTAGTCAACCTTTCTACAACCAATGYAGCTCAGCAGCTCCAAGCTACGCAGACTACAACGGCTATTCGAATAACATGGGCTACGCCAATACACTTCAGCCAAACCAAAACACCAACGGCTATTCGCATTTGTCTGTAAGTTCGTCATGTATGCAAGCTGCCTATTCACCGTATTGTAAAACATGGTAAGGGAATCTACACTCATATATCACTGTCTGGAAAAAAAAACTTTTTTTCTAATAAACTCTGAAACACTATTTGATGTAAAACTATACAGTCGAATGAACAGGAAAATAGCTGTTCCTAGAATGGTTTTAAAGAAGTTGTTGAAGATATGTTAGCTATATGGTAGTTAGTAGGCGGGGTAGTCCTCATATAGGGAGCACTTCTATTATTTGAATTGAGTTGCAAACGAAAGAGATACCCTTTTGTGGTTCTCAAAGCCTGTGATATCATCTCCATTACAATTTGAATGAAACAACAGTGCTTTACTAGCGTTTGAAGCCGTCGATTTAAGATGATAAACTTGATCGAATGAAAAATTGACTTGCATTCGAGACTTCTCAAAATCATGGGCTGTTCAAACAGGTTTTACATTAGTGATATAGTTTTGGTGTAACCACTTCATTTCGAGCTATACACGCGAACCCATTACTAGAAAGAGTCATGGTAATCGTATTGAACATCTAAGAAGTTTAAGCTCCCCAAGCTTCCTATAATAAGAGCTTTCCAATCAACTGAAGCACTATTAGGAGCCTGTATGACATCGTTCTCGTCTCAGCTCTTTTCAGAACAAAAGACGACTTGCTTTGTGGTTGAGAGTTGCAAAGTCATAACAGATCAGACTTCAAGTTGTTATTAGTGATRTGGAATTCATTGTAAATCTGTAGTCTTAAACTGATTTCTTCGTTGTGCTTCTCAAAAGCTAACCGAAATGATACTGTAGAATAAATCTGTTCTATACTGTCACTTTTATCTAGACTTTCTATCGCACCGTTAACTAGTTCTCAATACTAATCCTACATAGTCACGGCTCTATTGTGTTCTAGTGTTTTTGTCAATTCGGTGGTTTGTAGAACTTCAAGAAGAAGCACGCGACCAGAACATCTTCCTGAAATTCAGCCACAGGATTTCTCAATTCCTAAAAAAGGATTTAATTTTTTCATCACGAAGAAAAGAAAAACCACAACAGTTTGGGATAACTTAGTGAAAAATTTAAACTAAAAGTTCATTTTGTTTCATTTCTTTGTGATTTTCTTTTTGAAATCGGGCTTCATGKTCTTTTTTATCTACCCTCATGAAACATTAACTCGCTTTTCAACACCAGTTGATTGAGAATGCAATAAGAACTGGCATGGTGTACTTGTTGTGTTTGTTGTTGTTTTTATCTTTTAGCTTCATAATAAAATATAACCAACCAAATTACACAAAACCTGTACTTTTTGTGTAGTTGTTTACGAAGAAAAGCAATAATATCAGTTTATGGCTTCCTTGTTTGTACAAAATGTGTTTGTAAAGTTCCTCAGACTCGAAGTCTTTTCGATTATATATCTTTTTTTCTTTTCTCTGCACTTGCAACTGTGCTTGTAGTCTCTTAGTTTATAGTAGAATAAGTTAATTCTTTAAAAATCTTTAGGTACTATAATTTTCTTGTCGTCGACTGACTATTTGAAATAGACGTTCAGGTGATCTATTGTATCATRAAGTCAAAGTAATTAAATTACATAATATTAAATGCTACAGTCTGTGAGGTTTTTAGTCTCAATTCTTGTCAATGTTTCAACTGGAAATCTTTTCTGAGAATTATATATTGAAAATAGTTGACCTGTTCTTCATAAAATCCCAAAATACAATGGTGTCACTTATACCTGATGAAGGTACAATGACTTCATGAAAAGTGCCTTTGATAATTGAATTGTGCAAAAACATGAATAGAAATAGTTAGAAAAATCGTGATTTGAAGATGTGTTAGCTATCTCTAGTAATTTTGTGTTATAGAAAGTTATGTATTCCAAGAAAAAATCAAGGTCTTATAGTTAGAATCACGAATTAATATATTGTCTGAAATATTTATTACTAATGTACCTATCATGTACATATGCAGTTCCTATACGAAAACATAGTCGATTAACTATTGTAAAATTTAGCTTAGAATCCCTGTTGTAAGAAGGTGTAAAAATAACTTAAAATAAAGTATTAAAAAATCAACCATTGTTTTGTTATGTTTATCATTGATTTATTATTCAAGTTCAAGAAGTATTTTAATCTAAAATCAGGTCACGTATGAATTATTGAAGAAATGACATGTTTTCGATCAAAAAATGATGTCGATTTTATTGTCCATAATTACATTGTCAAGAACAAATGCTGGTATTTCCTGTGGTAAAGCCCGTGCACAGCTCTTGTAAACCATAAATAGATGTAAAAAAAATTCTCCATCAGAAGAAAACTCGTTGTGTTTAGTACTTTTAATTTTAATTTATGGAATGGAACTGATTTTTAGTGTAGGAATTATCAGCGATGGGATAGTAAGTACAGGCCACACGTAACTTAACAATACACCGCTCTTTGAATTCACGAAAAAAGGTTAAATACGGTTAGTAGAGCACCATAAATGCTTTATAACATACGTTTAAGGTAACCAAATGGATTACAAGTCTAGAGAACAAAGATAAAGAAAGATTTCTGATTGCATGAAGGCGAGAATGGCTACCCAAATCTATGGTACTTCAGCGAAAACCTAATCAGTTCCTCAGTGAAATGACCTAGCCACTTTTTGATCTGTACTTTAGATAGACCAAGATTGTGAGCAAACCGCAACGTAAAACAAGTCATACCATTTTATGCCAAGTTTCTGTTCATATCCTWTAAAAAATGTAAGGTTTCCCTTCTCTTCCTGACGCCCATCAGTATTAAGAACAGCGAACAACAACGATGCGACACTTTGGTCTTAAGCTAATCAGTGAAGGCCACTAAAGGCCAGATTTATTCTTTAAAAAAAGTACTCTCTTTAATCTAATTGCTTCTTCTAGAGCATTAGATGGAAGGTTTTTGCTTTCTTGCAYGTTGTAAAGAGAGTAAGTCGAAGGCAAATGATAGCAGGTCAGTGAGGTCTAAACCTCAGTATGCCTAATCATGGAGAATATGATATGTGGCATTTTATAATCCTTTTAAAACTCAAGTCAATAGCTACACTTTATCACGCTAAGGTAATACATTGTTCAGTAGCCACCATTTTCGTCTATTCTTGCGATTTGAAGTCTCTCTACGAGTTGAACTTGTAATGTGACAAGACGATCAATGCTTTTCAGAATATGGCGATGGGTTCTTTGCCGTGTGGACTTCAAGGTTGTACCAGTCTGTAGTAGGGGAAAGAGACTCAGTGAGTTACAACTGTAAAACATTTATTGTGATTTTTTAGTTAAAGAAAACGAATTCAAAAAGTCTTGATTTACTGGAACGAAGATTAAACACGATTGATTTGACTATGCGAAGTCGTCTTGTTCAACAGTGAGCATACAGCTATTAAAGTCGTAGGGATTCTATGTACGACGATGCCATCTTAGAAGCAYAAAAGTCTCAATCTTAGCTTTTAATTTTGATGATTCAGTACAAAAAGGAAAAAAAGAAGTTTTGMCAAATTGTAATCGGGAAACGAAGATTTTTTTCAGCGGCATTTCGTCGGTGTGAACAAACGGCGGGAATTCCTTTAGCTCTGGTCGTTTTGACGGCGACATTCGCATTAGTTGCACCAAAATTGCTACGATTTTCAGTTAAATTTTATTAACGATAGAGCAAAGAAGACTGAAAAAAAAAAAACACCAGTAAATTTGATGCAAGTAGCATGGCAACAACTCAGCACAAACCATTCTTGACACAAACACAAAAAAAGAAGTACAACATTCTGTCATAAACGTTTACACTTTACGACTGGTTGATAATTTGTCGTGTTTTCTGTTTAATAAGTAAAATTAATTGAATAAAATCCTTAGTAAAACTTATGTAACAGGTCTGTTAGGATATTTGTTTGTTATTCTCAAACACCAGCACTAGCATTAACATCATTGTCTTAGACAAACTAGTACAAGAATACGAGTTGCAATTTGAACTATTTTTGTTGTCTGGATAGAGTCAGTACTCGGTTTTATACTATTTCTGAAATATAATGAACTGCCGGCGCAGAGTGCCGAAGAATATGTGYTTTATGTTACGAACTGGCGTTGGAATCCAGACCAATTCTGAGATGACTCCAAACAATTAAGGTATTGCACTAGCATCATTGTCTTAGACAAACTAGTACAGGAATACGAGTTGCAATTTGAACTATTTTTGTTGTCTGGATAGAGTCAGTACTCGGTTTTATACTATTTCTGAAATATAATGAACCGCCAGCGCAGAGTGCCGAAGAATATGTGTTTTATGTTACGAACTGGCGTTGGAATCCAGACCAATTCTGAGATGACTCCAAACAATTAAGGTATTGAAAGCAAACGACAGTTTTTGTGCTATCATCGACAAGTGCATTGTCAGTTCGGTGTACAAACATTACTCAACTGTTTCCATCTTGGAATGTAGCGTACTATAGTTGACTAGAGTCATATTGACTGCATTAAACGTAATCAAAGTTTTCTAGTTTAATACGATTAGTTAGATATACTAGTGTTTTACTTACAAAACCCGTTTTTAATTGACTATAGGATTTGTGTAGTTTAGTTTCATTGAAGTGGGATTAACGGCAAAATGTTGGTCTGCTATAGCGCGCGGTAGATTTGCTCTTGTAGCCTGCATTTATAAATAATAAACTCAAACTAACTTCATTCTCTGAGTTATTCGAACTCTTTTTTCGAACTCTTTTACTTATGGAATGAAAACTAAAAGGTGCTAAAAGTGTTTTAGCTTTGGTTTTTGTAAACATTCCTTCCCATTGTTATCTCGTTGAATAGARAAGACGAAAACGCTCTACTACAAGTCAGTTTAAATCTATTTTTGTCAATCTTAACCTTTTGTTCAATTATTGGCAATCATCTAAAGCAACGACGCCGTTAATCTGACGTTTGAAACTTTTCTGTTAGCTGTTTTAGAATGATTTGTAGGTAAAGCATTATCCTAATCCCTTTAATCCTTACAGCAAACACGGCGCAAAGGACACCGGCCCACGTTAGCTTGTCTTCTCAAATGGACAGCTAAAATACCCCGAGTTTTGCTTATTTTTTCACGTCATGGAATACGCAAAGTCCATTGACAGAAAATGATCTACTTGACTTTGTAAGTGTTGCCGCGAGTCTCTGCTAAAGGCTAAATATTATTCTATCAGAAGCAAATCTAACTAATTTACAAGTTTCCGGCCCTGAACTGAAACTATTAGAGTGGTATGCGTAGAGAAAGCCCTTATCGCGTATCGATCCCAAGCACCTTAAGTACGTTTTCGAATCAACATTTACAGACAAGTGTTGTCCTTAATGCTCTCTATTTCCGAAGCAAGTTGATCGAGTTGCAAAATGGCGCGCGTAAAAACGAACAGCAAAAAGAACAATGAAACAGCTGCTAAAACCTGCACCACTCCCCAAATAAAACAACAATTCCTAAAGGCAAATAAACCAAGACCCCGGTGCTAAATACCAAACTTATGCCAAATTAATTAAATCTTAACAAATAATAAATATACAGTTTGTAGAGCTAAAGACGCAAGATGTAAAGTATAAGTTTAATGCTAAAATTTRCTTCGCGCACAAGATCRCCGAAAATTCAATTTATTGATAATGATTTCAGACCTCGACTGATTTCCTTGCTCAATTAGCTTTGGCAGTGTAGTTAGTATCAGTAAGTGGCAGGAAGCTAAACCAAAGCAGAAAAAACAGTTTTATCAAAGATAACCAACTCTTTCATAGTCTCTTTAGGACCATAATGTGTGCTCATTACTGATTGCCTACACAGAAAGAGAAGCTCTACGCCACCGCGCTACGCTAAGTAAGGCGGCGGCCAACAAAGTAAACATACTAAAAATTCTAGCACGATTTTCACCAGATAAAGTAACAAATTCGATGATTTCATTGTCAAATGTTTGAGTCATTTATCTTTATTGTTTTTTGGCCTTTTTCCAAGCTTATTTTGTGTGCCAACTAAATAGCGAGTTCTTGTAATGATACTCTCTCCATTGAAAAAACTCCCCGATTAAAAAGTTCACCTTTTCTTATTATTGCTTTTGTACTTTTAGTTCAATGAGCGATAATTGAGTCTTTATGTAACGACAAAAGTACTTCTATGAAAAGGAGAATTTCAACATTAGTAGTAGCGAGAAGTTCTGCACGCCAAATACAGGTACCGTGTGTCGAGTGTACGTAGGGCTACTCACAAATTCACGTGCTATCCTCTCTAAACAAGGTCTTTCTTTTTCAATTAACAGCCGCTCCAACCTAGTTTTTGACGTGAGTACGTATACTTTGTGCCAGGAACTGTCGTTTCGCTGGCACATAGGTGGGGCAATGGACGCCATATAATGAACTTTTAATATATAGTTTCCCAAAACCACTTTCACAAAAAAAAAACAGTTACCATAAGCTCGAACTTTTAAGCCAAACATGAACAACTTTGAACGATAAAATTTCAGCTTTGAATTTATCAAAAATGTGCGCACAAGAATCAGTCCAGTATAGAAAATATTTCTGAGATTAGCTATCTGTCTTTAGTTTTGAAAAACCTTTTCAGCAAGAGAGCTTTCTGATATTGTTTTAGAGAACAGTCCGGTGATAATATTATTTATATATGTAAGTCATTGTATAGGATATTTCAAACGCAATCGTAGTTTTTCAATACCAATGAAAACATTTACTTAAAACAATAACTTCAGTAACAATCTGTTATGGTATAAAATGTTTGCATGAGATTGTTGAGTGTGCTTGTGTTCTATGCTGGGCGGTATTCATCTTAATATTACTCCCATCAATGCACTGTAATATAATTGTACATTGAAAAGCGTGGCACTCAGGTTTATTGCACTACTTCAATGTATTTCTCTCCATCACTTCGACTAAACAGATCCAGCTTGAGAACGGACCAAGATGGCAGCAGATACGCGCTCTAATCCGCGATTATCATCCAACGGTTGATGTGAACATGGGGCTGAACTCTCAATGCAGACTTTTCAAACATCAAATGCTTTATCTTTAAAGTCGGCTATCGGAAGATAATCTTACTATATTGGCCGATTTTTTGGTATTCATTTATCCGAGCTCAAGAGGTGAGTTAAAAGCCCGGCTTTTTATACGGTCAACAATGATGTGTGTAGTCGGTTAAGTGTTGTTTAATGTCGCCAAAACATAGAGTACAGTTTTATCTGTATCGTTGATGAAGTAGCGCACGCCGGCTTTTTAGGGATTTGCGCCGATTGATATCAAAAACCATCACGGATAGCCCAAAATAAGTTCCCATTGGGAACACGATTCACCTTGCTCAGAAATGTTTAAGAACTAAGTAATTTATTGAGTGTAGAACTTACAGTGAACTGTCTACAAAGTATAAAATACGAACATTAAATAGGTGTAACATTTTATGTTTAAAACAATTGAAGTTGAGCGATAAATATAATCAACTCTAGAAACTAGAAACGTGTGACTATAGAGAAGTTTTCTTTAAAGCTTGAAAACTAAGTGTAATAGACAAAGATAAACCGAAAATAAAAGTAAACCGTGCAAAATAAACAGCAATGTACATTAAAGATTTATGAAAACCATTGTATGTATTTCAAAGTACTATATTTTAATGATCTTTTTTTTAATTAACTTAACTCGCTACAATGATTTTTTTAAAGATAGTTAAATTGTGTGACCTATGGTGGACGTTATATTGCAAAGACAGCAAATGTAGTCAGAGACTGTTCTTAAAATACACACTCCATTACTGCACCAAATGAGGCGGATCCGCCTTTTATATAAGATGGACGGATGAACACTTAATCATAAAAACATTATGCAGAGAAAAATAAGATAGATCATGAACTTATAGACAAAATTAACTGCAAGGAGGGATAATAAAGACTTTGTAATGTATTTGAATTTAATGTTTATTTTTTGAAAAACAAATATCATTATTAAATGGTAAAATTAGGACCCATTTCACTTGAGTAACTTTTATCTAATGGATTTATCCATTGTTTTTGTCAATTAAATTTCATATGATACCGTTTTTGAAAAGAGGTGATATAAAAATATGACTCAGTGCCATATTGAATTCTATTGTTTTCAAACTTATAATTCACAGATACCCGCGGGGCATTAAACACGAGAAATTTTGATAGATTGCACGGCAYTCAGTGCTAGAGATTCAAAATTAATGATATTTGAAAAACAGCATAACACATTTGCATCTTTTCAGATGATTTGTTGAAACTTTGAACAAGAGTTTTTTTAGCACTGCAGTTCAAAAAATCGTGCGCGTTTTTAGACGCTARRCATCCCGATAAGTTCTACATATATATACATAAGGACTATTCGATTAGTCATTGTACTAGGCAGGGTAAGAAAAGAATTAATATKGGTCATGTGTTTCGTCGTGAACTCAAATTCACATGGCAAATTCTCTGACATTCKGTGTTTTATAAATYGTGACAGTAACCAAGCCTCGCTATTGTCTCCAATCCTATCACGTGACACGTTTTTGAATAAATAATTACCTATTGATTTCATATTGTCAACCATTGTTTTATCCCAAAAATAAATAAATAAATAAATGATATTTGGGGCTGGGCTGCCTAAACTTGTACTRTAAGGATGCTTTAACCAGCAAGGTGTGTTGAATTTAAATTAATTTTAAAACTATATATAGTCTTGTGGGTATTTCCAGGTGCAGACGAAAGCTACACATTTTGAGCGGGTTTCCTGTGCCAAATCAGAGTTTTTCTATTTGAGTTTAAAGTGATGTTTTTTGAATCGAATAACCTTTGATATGARCTTGAAAAGTTTTTAATGCTTTTTTTTTCATTTATCGGTATTTACTCGGAAAGTATCTATAACACACACAAAAAAAGTTTTTAATGTTATTCACTTTCCATACTCAGGCTTAGTGGCCACGAACAAAGCATTGAACCGAGGCGTCAAGGAACACTGATCACATATCGTTTCTTTTATGTTCACTRTACCTTGACGCCTCGGTTCAATGCTTTGTTCATGGTCACTGAACCTGAGTATGGAAAGTCATGACTAGAGTTTACCTCGTTTGGGCCTTAAAGCCATCTAAGGCTCGGCATTTTTCAGTGAATTTGATAACTAACTAACTGTCTTGAAATTATTGAATCGCAATCAAAGCTGCGCTGCAATAGCATGCATGACTTTCGGACGACTTTTAAATGCATGCTGYTGAATAATCCTTAGTGTTTGGTATCATTTATTTGTTCTATGTAAATCATGCGACAATCCAACTAGGTACTAGTCTTCTATAGACCTGCTCGGTCAAGAAGTTGTTACTGGGTAGCGTCTCGAACGCGAGCCGCGAAAAAATGAATCTTCTAAAAATGTCATCATCGTTGACCTTGATACCTACGCACTGACTAAAATTAGAATCTCTATTCTTTGCTCCACTCTAAAGTTTATTTCTGCTTTTTAAGAATTGAAGTTGAAGTATTCTCGGACGAAAAATGAAACGAAAATGTTGGCTAGTGCACGTACGTCACACGRTTCAGCTGTACTGTTAGACCTTGGCACAAAACCGAATAAGCACTCCAAAAATAGACGGAAAAGGATTTCCTTTCACATTCAAAAATATTATGCTTTTAAATTAATAAAAAGAAAAGAAATGTTTAAGAAGAATATTATAGAACCGATAGCAATGCCTGCATGAGTGGGTTTCATGGGACACTTAGCTTGCTCAATAAGGTAGAAAGTGATGCAATTGTTTTTGATGAAGCGAGCTGTGGAAGCAATTCGAGTTCATGAGTTTCATAATTTTGCTGAAGGATTGCTTTTTTCCGTCTTGATGTAAAGACAGTTTTCAGTTTTCTATTGCTATTTCGATCGCTCTTGCCTTAGTCATCGCAGCTGAAGCAAGATCATGAGATCATATCAAGATCATTTATTAGGAAGGCATTACTTTTTAGGAATTCAAAATGTCCATTCGAACAAGGAGGCTGTATAAACAATCTAATTTATGCTCATTTGAACTGACTTTTTGAGCAAAGCCCTAATGGTTTGGACATAAAAAGGACAAATATTGATGTGATTTTGGCATAAATACTGACTTTGATTGATGTTCGCGAGGCGTGATGCACAATTAGGAGTCTGAACAAGGGGGCGGGAAAGAGTTGTTCAAATTGGCCTCAAAAGTGCTAAAAGTTCGTGTTTATTTACCCAATGCGCACGCTGACAGATCAAATGATAAGAACCAACGGATCATTCTTTCTAGTAAAGTTTCTATAATTAGCGTTCAAATCCGTCAAAATTTAAGAACAGCTTTGTTTCGCTGCCTGAGGAAATAGCTGCCTGGATGAAAATGCCAACATTGCATTYATTGGTATTTTCGTAATCACTGTTGACAGGGAAGTCCGTACATATGTCTACATCAAACGTCATTCATAGATAAATAGCCTAACATAGACCAGGGCATTAGTAATCACATGTCATRGACATATGCCTAATGTAACCCCGAGCTGTCATAACCTTACATTGAACAGATAACTAGGTCCATTTGAAACCGTTTTATGCGACAGCCTCGCCAACATGAATTCCTTCTCAATAAAAGATATTCTCCGTGATAGCCACGATTTCCGTACTGGGTTATCATATGTAGACAAGACCCCAAGACTGCGCACAATGGCGGACTCCACACTTCAGCATTATTCCAGCCARCCTAGCTTCAAAACGCAAACGAATGGTAAGTATGTCTAACAGAGTTTGTTAACTCAATTTGATTTTTAATCATAATGCCTTCTTGAAATCGGAAGCCGTCCTTGAGCGCGCTCCTTGAGAGGACAGGAAAAGACCAGGTCAAGATTACTCGAGACGTTAGTCAATGGATCCAATTTGAGTGTAGATTTTGAACATAGGATCACAGTTAGCAGTTTATAGAAACAATCGGTCGTGTTTATAGTTCGGATAACACTCGCTAGCGCATCTCGAACAACAGTTTTGGATCATCCGGCTTCTAAAGACTTGCTCCTTACCACTTGAGACAGTTTCAAAATAACACTAGAATAATACTGCTCCATGGAGTGATCAAAGGGCGAAACAAGTATTGGTATTTTTATTTCAATTACAGAAATCAACACTGGCGATTCCCAAAATGGAAGCGACAAAGATAGTAAAACAACTCAGGGTACCCGACACTCTCTAGCGAAGAAAAAGAGAAGAGTTTTGTTTACAAAGTCACAGATATACGAGTTAGAAAGACGATTTCGACAACAACGCTACTTGACTGCGTCAGAACGCGAACAACTAGCAAGAATGATAAGTCTTACACCAACACAAGTCAAAATATGGTTCCAAAATCATCGTTACAAACAGAAGAAGCAAGTTTCCGATAAGGATTTGATGAACAAAGAGTTTTCAGTTTGTGGTGGACGAAGAGTAGCGGTTCCGTTATTAATGAATGAAGGGCGACCATTCTATGACTACAATTTCAATTCAAGGTACAACATGGCAAACGAAACGGCGGAGTTTATGAATCCATATATGACATTTCAACAGACCAACTTATATCCACCACACTGGYCGAGCTATTAGACGTATTACTAACCYTATAAACTGGATTAGATACCGAACAATTTAARTCGAAGTATGTTGTAAAACAGAACGAGCTAATCAAAATCCACTTAAATCAKTACAATCCCATAACGCCTCGGGGTACCAACCACTTTTTTAAATGACTTTTAAAACGTTTTAAGAAAATATACGTCAAATCTTTCTTAATGACAAATCATTTCGAGATACTTATAGTTTTCATAAAGCCCTTGAAGGATTATTTATGCTGTATAAATGCAATTCTTCTCTAGTTATAGAATTATTTAGMGTAAGTTGCTTTAGCGGAATAATGATCGGACATTTTGGTCATCCCGAGTTAAGTTCATGCATATGAAACGAAAGACAAGGAGTTTTTTCGATTGATGTTTACTAAAGCTTGCTGTGTTTGATAGTTGTTAGCACACTGTTCTTGGGGACCAGAACACTCAAGCAAAGTGTCGTGTTTGCATTAGAAATCCTTTTCAAGTACTTAAGAGCGAATGGTAAAAAGAAAAATGATTATAGTTTAATGTTCTAGTTAGAGTTAGGAATAACATGACGCAATTTGAAGGGCGTCTTTAGTTGAACGACAAGACGACTATCTCCTTCGTCGTGTTCGTTCTTGTCGAAAATGTAAACACAAAGCCTCTTTTATTTCTAGATAGCTTTTAAACTGAACATTTCAAGTGTCTTCCTACTTTGTCTGTATGCTAATTCTCCATCCCAAAGTAGAATAGGTTTACATATTTCGTGACATTCAATCAATGACGTTGTTCAGAAGAGTTTTGCTCGAACACATCGAAAAGCATTTTGACATCRTCGTTCACTCCAAGTGGAGTACATTACAGAGAGCTAATTGAAAACCCCTCGCATCGACTCAGTATAAAAAAACATTGAATCAAAGCAGAAATATAAACACTATTGAGTACAATGTATTCCGATATAATTCTCGACACATAAGGCACACTTGAGCGAGCTCCTTTATTAAAGCTTAGCACAAGACCGTCATGAGATAAATGAGTTTTTCAACATCTAGTAAAAGATCTAAACAACGACGAMCTAATGTAAGTGCTAAGCTAATAGAACGACCACAATAATCCTAGCCACGTTGGATTACAATACAGTACTTCTTACTCAACGAAGAGTACAAACAAAACGCTTAAGCAGGTTTATAAGCCAAGTCTAGCGAGAGATTTCCTCTGTTAGTGATTGCTAATGACCTTGAATACAGGGGTGGAGCTCATGGACCATCGAGATGCTGTAAACACAGCTTGTTCGGCTTTTAGAATTACAACGATAAGTTTGTTTAAGTCAGATGGCTTTTGTGTTATTAAGCTCTTTGACTTGTTATCAAGCTCAAAGAAAGCACATTAACCCGTCAAGAACACACATGACAAGCTAATTTCCATTGTAAATTCATGCTGATCACGAAGTTCCTTTTTAGTAAGTGCTCCTTTTCTTAAGTGGAAAATCATTCGGTGTTATTTCCGAGAGCAAAGTAATTGAGCAACACTTGACAATTGTGAACGTTTAGCTGGATATGTCAAGAAACGATTGATAATCTYACAATTGCACGTGTGCTAACTATATTGACAGTCGCTTGGCGTCTCAATATCTAATAATCTTACAAAGTTACAAAAATTGCACAACAATTGCTCGCGTGTGAAGTTGCCGCAGTCGCCATTTCTRGCAAGGAACTACAATTGCTCTTTGGTACAGTAGTTTTGGTGTCTGGAACAGTAGTAATTCTAAGATGTTGTGAAGGATGGTTATTTCTGTCGAGRGAGTACTGAATTTTTAGTTATTCAAGTCTTGTTACGTTTTTAGGAACTTTTTTTTGTATTGTTTCAATGCAATTGTCAGAGAAGAAATGACAACACGACAATAAAATTGTAATCTATACTTAAGAAATAAATACACTGTAAACAAAAACTATTAAAAAAGAAAACTGTTTTGAGAGAAACTTAATTAAAACACTTCAAAATATGGGAGTCTAACATCTTCTAAAAATAGTAAACCTCAAGGGATTTTATGATATTATAACTTTGCCTCTAACCAAAACCTTCARCAGCACTGTTGTTGCAGTACATGTTTTACCATCTGATATTTGTGTCTAAATTATATTAAAATACATTGTTGCCGGCCTTCTTGTGAGCTTGATGTTATTACCAAACTCTTGAAAGAGTCCTTCATTTCAAGATGAATATATCGACTCGTGAAAAGTGTTGCGCAGTGTTGACATGTAATATAGCTGGTGGAATGGTGTTTTGAGAACTGTGCAAATCCAGCTGAAAATTGTTTGCCTCAAAAAACGCAAATATGTCACATTAAACTATCTCAGGGTAATGTGATCATTGAGATCTATTTCATCTTGTCATACTACCATCTTGAAGGTCTTGAAGTGGTTTTAGAGAGGTTTTTTTATCCAATTTAATCGAAAAGTACGATTTCTTTGAAATCAAAAACGCAGCATGCCATGGCCAGTGTTACCGTGGTAACAAGGGGACTGCAGTGATTCACGGAAACTGAGGATTCAGACTTAGCAAGTTTTGATTACCTCATCGATGATTTTATCACTGTTAAATTGAATAAACAGCAATCACCATTTAAAGATTAAAGATGATGAAAATACTTCTCGTATACTCCTTTATAAATCACCATAACATAATAAAGGACACAAAATTTCCTCGTTTAGTGTTGTCAATAAAATAGAAAATTTATAAAAAATGTAATGTTGAGTGGTTTGTAGGTCTAATTCCTACTGTACTCCAATGGCGATATTCAGCGGGGTTTGTTATTATTATTCTGAAAACCAAATGAAAGCAAAGTTAAATTTTCTTCAAGTGTCCGGTTCGTCGAAGGCTGAATGGTTTTTTATTATTATTCTGAAAACCTGATGAAAGCAAAGTTAAATTGTCTTAAAGTGTCCGGTTCGTCGAAGGCTGAATGGCATAAACCCAATTTTGCAACATACAAACCTAACAAAATCTATGTCAAGCTCGTCACCAGGTCCTTATCCCTCCGACGAGAGTGGCCTGGTGAGGTAGTTACCGTATTTACTCGAATAGACGCCGCGGCGTTTATTTCATTTTTCACGATCCAACTGCGGCGTTTATTCGAGGGTGGCGTCTATTCGGGGGCGGTGTTTATTAAAAAGACACTTTATTCGGTACTACATACCGTACTTTATATTGTATCTTTTTACTTACAAACAGTAAGGAATCTCAATATATAAATGTCGTGTCCATTTTGTCTATATTCAATTTATGATTTTAACCAGAGTTAAACTTCTGTTTCAACAGCAATGTTCTCCTCATTTAAATACTTTAAATGTCACAAACAATTCGTTGTTTGCCAGCGTAATCTCTCGTGGTCAAGTTAGTTAAGGCGCTTTACATTTGTAGTCGAAGGGTTAGGTTTAGGGAAAAGGACGGGTCAGGCTATAAAATGTTAAATTCATAATTCTAAGTTAAAATTTGATAAGAAAATTTTTAATAAGTTAAGGCGTAGCTAAAAAGCTGTAGAAAAATATACAAGTGAAAAAATGTATGGACCCCTGTTCGCTTGTTAGGTGCTTCTATTCGCTTGTTAGGTGCTTCTATTCGCTTGTTAGGTGCTTCTGTTCGCTTGTTAGGTGCTTCTATTCGCTTGTTAGGTGCTTCTATTCGCTTGTTAGTTTGTGCCATATATGGAATACGTACTACAAACCCGCCTCAAACCGCGTTGCAAAATCGGCAATTCCGCCATCGAGCGATATCTCCATGACCCAGAACCGCCACAAAAATAAGGGCAATTACCAAACTTCTAAAATCAGCAAAGACCGTCAAACCACCAACCTGTAATTGGCCCCCAAGAAAGGAATAAAAAGGGTTTACGGCACTATTAAGAAAGGTACTTTCAACATGTTTCAAGCTTTCCGAACATCAATTAATATCTAAAGGTCGAAAAGGACTGCCGACTGCCTTTGCACCAATAATTATTCCTAATGATTTATGGTTCATTCTAAATATCGTATGGTTCATTTTAAACATAGTATTTAGTGCTAAATACTTTTGATACCTTTTGAAAGTGGATAATACGTGACAGGAATATGCAAGAGCTGAAACAGTGTGCAATGTACTTTGACTGCCATTCAAGAGTTTCACAATACAAGAAAATAAGCAACAAGAAAAATAAGTAATCAAGAATGAGAATTCAGAGTACTTTTTCCTGAACAACGTTAATTTGACCCTCCCCAGTCATGCACTCCAGAACTAAAGTTATGACACTGTTATGACCCTTCCCTCGTAATATAAGTATGAAATTATGACTTTCAAGGGATCAAATAACAAAAAGTTGCCATGATAAAAACCGTTTGGCTCGCAAGATCCTGGCTGCCGTTAAGCAAATACAAAAGCCAGCATGGCTTCTTCTGGCGTCGTCGATCAACGAATTGCTTCAAATAGTTTTGCTTTTAATCAATCAATGTGATTAACAAGTCATCCAACCTGCCGAAGCTACCTCCACTCGCTATTGACGGCAAATGACGGTCTTGTGAGAAAAACTGCATCACATAGAGCTAGATTGACTTTTATAATAATTTTCCTGTACTTTGTTAGGCACATCCTGACTAATGAAAAAAAGATAAAACCATAATCATGAAACGAAAAAGTCAAGATACCCATAAGTGACCCTCCCAAGCCCTTAAGCTTGCAATTTGATTAGTGACGACCCCCTCCCCTGTATGGCTTCAGCACTAACCGTGGCTATCCAAATATCCTGAGCTATGAAATAGCTATAAATGCCATAACCTGTTTGACGACACGTTTTTTTAGGACGTCTGTTTTTATGCACATTTCTGAAAAGAGAAAAGTTTTTTACGAATAATTATTAGTAAAACTGAGTAAGGTCTGTTAACATTTTTTCATCTTTTTTTGGCACAATATACCAAAATGCAAGGATATCCTTAGAAACAAAAAAAGATTAAATATCACATATGAGGGAAAGTATTCATAACATTTTGACTAAGAAGTCATCTTTAGTATCAAACGTTTTTAGCTTTAGTTGGCTGCCGCATCTGCAGAAAAAACATTGCGGTATCAGCAAACCTCAAAGTATATGAGGAGAAAAACATGTTGAAAAGCGTTTAGTAACCCACAGTCTAATAAAATGATAATTTATAATGTATCTTCATTGTATCTTCATTCAAATAGAAATTACCCAATTCAATGATTTCAGTTTTTCAAAATGAACTAATTCGCCTAACCGCAAAGCGACTGTGATTTTTAGAGTTATTTTTAGCTGGTTTCAAATGGCCTCGCGGCCAACCAATGCTTGAAGGCAAAACCTGCATAACGTAAAAACGATACCAGATGCAACCATCTGTGCTGGTTGAAAATGTATATAAACGACAGCAATTGCTTGAGAAACCATTCGTACAAGTTTTATCGACTACTGAATCCACGAGTTAACATGGCGGCTCTTCGACTCTTGGTTCTCTTCATGGTCGGCACAATTCTGTTGTGTCAAGTCAGTGCAGACCCTCTATGGAATGAGATCCTTAGAGAGAATTGTATGTTTGTCGCTATTATTTTTGTTCTTCTTGTTTTGTTTTTTGTTTTTCATTTTCTATCAATGACATCACATTGTTTTATTCACTATTGAAATACGTTTTCTGCAAGTCGATCCCTATTCAAGTGGAAAGGCAAACGCCTTTTGCATTGAAAAGCGCAGTTGAAAGCGCAAGATATCTGAAAAAAATTCCTTTTATTTTGCGCTTCATTTTGATAGTATCATTATCATTGTCGTTATTGAAATCTGTGATTTATGTAATTTTCCTTTTCTGAAGTGCTTGAACAGAGATCCAACTCTCCAGGTAATTATAACTGATTATAATGAAATGAGTGGACGCACTTAAGTCCGTGAAAGGAAATATTACAAACTACTCAGTACCAATGGTTAAAACATATATGTAGTTGTCTCTAGCTTAGTTTTTTATTCAGACGTTTCGATCTGCTCTCAGATCTTCTTCAGTGCAAAAAAATGAATTCCGTTACAATTGTTTGCGCACGTATATAGTAAAATATAATTTATAAGTAAAATAGTAAAATATAATATATACGCGCGCAAACAATTGTAACGGAATTCATTTTTTTACACTGAAGAAGATCTGAGAGCAGATCGAAACGTCTGAATAAAAAACTAAGCTAGAGACAACTACAATTATGTTTTAATCATGAATCCTAGCTGCAACAATCATATTTTTTACTATCAATGGTATTGATTAGCACTATTTTAGTTTCACGGATTAAGTGCGTAGACTCCAGTACATGTATTTAAACTGGTTTAAATAGTGTTGATGACTGAACGCTTCTGAAGTTTGAAAAAAACATGGTCTTCACTAGCCTCCTTCGTACGCAACACTCGGTCATATTGAGGACAGGAAGCCCAAAAGTAGAAAGAGAGACGGCGGAAAAGCGGGAGAATCTACGTAGCAATCAGTTGATGTAATATATTCATAAAGATATAATACAAAACACATAATACAATAGAACGAGAAACAATGGAATACAATACATTTTATGAATACATTACATCAACTGCGTGCTACGTAGGTCACCCCGCGGAAAAGCAACCTAGTTCCCAGGGCTACTCTGCGCCCAGAGATATCTCTGTCCGCCATTTTGAAAAAAGCGAGCAGAGTAGCCCTGGGAACGAGGTTGGGCGGAAAAGGAGAATGACGTCTTCGGAGGAGGCTATAGATCTTCGTTAAGTTATAAAAACCAAAACAACTTTTGTTATGTGTAAAATCTTGATTGAAACGCTGTTCTCGAGTTTATTTCACATGCACACTTTCTTTATCTCTAGGTTGCCGTAACTCATTCAGTGATGAAATTTGTGGAAAGGTGAGTAATAACTTTGTTGTCATAGGGCGACTCATTTCAAATGATATGCCGTCTTTATATTGTAGATTATTAACAGACGTGACTGCACAAGACCATATACCA